ATTACATTTTATGTAAAGTCAAAAGTTAAATTTCAAACTGGTATTTATAAATTGCATTATATAAAAGAGCTATTTTTTGATATATAAAGCATTATCATTAAGTAAAAATGTGCAACACCTTAAGAGAAAAATAGTGATTGTATAGAAACAGTCAGGTCTTGGAAAACGAAATTCAAATTTTCTGAATGCAGTAAAGTATGTCTAGGCCTCCAGCTTGCCCTGGCCAACTCTAGGCTGGAAATTGATCCCATGTGTGGCAGCAGGACCAGGCCTCAGGGCCTAATGCAGCCAAGCTACCTCAGTCCTGAGAAAAACATCCTGCCTGGTCAGTGTCAGCTACTAGTCACTAGGCAACCTTGTTTCAGGTGATATCAACTTTGCAAAGATATAAATAAATGCCCGTACTGTGGTTCTGGGGGTCGTTTGTCAGTCAGGCATGGGCCACCACATGATACAGCTCTTGTCTTCTTGTCTATCTTTTCCTCATTTCTGCCGCCCTTTCTCCCTGGGGTGCACCCGAGAGAACAATAGAGACCTAGAGGAAGTAGGTAAATACATCTTTCTTGAACAGGAAGGGGATCAAGAGGTGGGGCCAGGAGCAGGAGGGGATGGAAAAGAATTAAGATGTGTATAGGTACCGAGTCCTTGCAAGGGACGCAGATATTATGCTCTGAAAACATATTTAAAAAAAAAGGTATTATACATGGTTCTATTAAAATGACCCCACAATTCATTTAACACTGTAAGAAAGAGTTCATCTTATATACATGCTCTTAAAAAACTGCAGTTGGAAGGAAATATAAATTTTAAATATATTCAATTTTCAGGAAGAATAAAAGATAAAGGAATTTTGCACGTCTCAATAACAAAATTAACAACACATAACAGCCTTTGTGTTGCCTAATAACACAGCTGAAAATGCAATGGTGCAAAATAATGAAACTACAGACTAACAGAAGAATGCAAAAGGATAAAGAAATTCTAAACTCTGTTACTTTGAAAGACTGATAAGTTTAAATC